TGCTGCATCGCCTCCTCCCTGCCCTGTACTCGAGCCGTTCCTGCAGACTCCCCTTTATGTCAAGCAGCAGAAACCAAGCTTTTTCGACCAAGAAGAACTCAGTGTTTCCCTGAAGATGCAAGTGGCTTTGCATTCATTCCAGTGGTATCATATGAAAACAACGTTGAGAGGAGAAAAAATTTGCAAACTATAAATATTGATTTACACTCATTATTACTTGGGACTTTTCCCTGTTTCCTAGCTAAATGTTGTTGTATTTAATTTCATTTTGGTCAGGTCAATTTTTAGTCATATTTCAAAAAAGTAAGGCCATGTTTCATGGAATTTTTCTGTTTTTATGTATTTGGCCAGCTTCCCCTATATTTTTGAGGTCACTGGTTCTGTATCTACTTGGAAATTTAGTTCTTTTCCTGTTTCATCAGGCACTAAATTTGGCGATCGCACTGGTGATGGTTTGCTATGAAGGATGCCCCTGGCATCCTGACCTTTGGCAGGGCTCACCACTACATCCCTGATTAAATGCATGGAAAACCAGTCCCTCCTCACTTCAGTTCTGAGTTGCATGCCAGGGACACCACCAGGTCCCGTTTAAAATAAGGACCTTGCTGCGTTTAGTGCTGTGTACATAATCTTGCCACTATACGTGCAGTTCTGAGGTCTGACGCTGCAGGTGGAGGGTTCTGTGTGTGTTCTGCCCCTCTCATCCTGGGCAAAGGGGCGGGGGATAGGAGGGAACCTCAAGGGAATCCCGTTAGGGCACGTGGACCATCAGTCTGAGCAGGCAGAGGGTAAGGAACAGGGATGCAGGGATGCTAAGGGGTGCACACAGAGGTGGAGTTACTATTTTCCTGCTTCTGCTGCCCTTTTTGCTATGGCCGTGCATGAAGAGCTCATCCACGGCTTTCTGCTTGTTGGGACCTCCACTGGGACCTCCGGGGTCCTTCCAGTCATTGCTTTCCAGCAGCTGGTCCTTGGCTCAGCAGGAGCCTTGGGACCTGCCTGTAGCCCGAATGCCCCTGCCTGCAGGTTGGATGTCCTGCCTGCAGGTTGGATGTCCTGCCTGCGTACAGCCTCTCCACCTGGGAGCGTTGTGAGCCGTGCACCAGCTGCTGCCAGAGAATGCTGAGCTCTGGCTCCAGCTCTTGTCTCATTTGGGTTCTGCCTCAGACACCGAAGGAGGATATCCTTTACCTGAGAAATATATATCCACACCATGCCCTGGGAAACTAACGGTCCCTTGAGCTAAGCTAACCCGGCATAGGTCATCCTCCACCCCAGATAGACAGAAATCTCACCTGAAAACGAACCCAGGGTATTTCCCTTGGCTTTCGGTTATAAAAATGAGATTTTTTTCCCCGATTTATTCCTATTGCCCATGTAGTGCTGAAAACTTCCAACCACAGTCCCGCCTTTGTGGTCAGAGTAGCTTGAGAGTAAGAGCAAATATCTCGTTTGAAAGCTGTGTGCTTCCACCCGGAACGGCGAAGGGCTGTCTGTGGTTCCCAACAGTAGTACCCAAAAAAACAGTGTTTCCCAAAAGCTCAGGATTTTTAGTCAAAATGAAGAAGGCGATGTCTTGGTCTTGTTCAGAACACCCATCAAGAGATGCTTTACACCCCAGTTTTTCCCACTGAGGCGAGAAACAAAATATTCTGCAAAACATACATGTCTTTAGAGCTACTTCAGGAGATCAAAAACTTTTGAAGATGTGGTGCCTTCGTGCTTCCTCCATCCTCAGGACACAAAGTATGTGTAACGGAATGGGCTGGAATAAAGACGTTCCCATGCCTTCTCTCGGGTCCTCTTCAAAGTCTCCTTCCCAGGAGAGCTTTGTGCAGCCAGCAGTTGTTTTCCAGCCAGGAACGTGCTGTGGCTGTCCTGGTGGGATCTGGGGGAAACAGGCAGAAGTGGGGAAGGGTCTGGAAGTGCTTTGGGATGAAGAGGAGGTTCGTCAGGACCTGTGGGGAGCTGGGAGTACTGCAGCATGGGAAGTTTAGGCACAAGTCCATAAGAAATCAGTCATCATTAGTGCAACTCTTTACAGAGCAACTCGTTTTAGTGGGTGAGAGGCCATTTCCAACTAGAAAGCCTTTTGGTTTTGGGTGGAAAACTGCATGGTATTGCAAATTTCTATAAAAAAAGTTGTCTAGTTTTACGAAAATGGGAAAAAAAGTTGAAAATCTGATATTCTGAGGTTCTTCATTTTTTTACTTGGGCTCTTCCACCCAGTCTTAGTGTCAGGTTACTCTCTGGTTTGCCTTAGCTTTCTTTGCAGAGTGGTTGTCATTATGGTCTGTACAAGCGAGGACTCTGGGAGCAGCATTCCCTGGATATTTCCTATATGATTTCCTTAGACGGTCCTTAGATTTAACTTGACATCAGACGACTCCTTAAACAGCAGACGAAAGTATAATGAGATCCAGTAGCTGGATGTTGAAGTTAGAGAAACTACTCCACTGGAAATAGGATGCTAATTTTTGAGATGAAGGGTAATTAACCATTAGAACAATTTGCCAAAGGCTGTGGTAAATTCATCGTTGCTGGAGTCATCCATGTATCGAGATCGAATGTCTTTCTACTAGATATGCTCTAGTTCCACCCCGTAATCCCGTCCAGCAATGCTCATTTATGGCAAGCTGCGGGGCTTTTTGGAAAGGTCCGGTGACTTTGATGGACTTTTCATCCACCGTTGCCACAGCTGAGAAGAGCTCTGCCTTCTGCTCTGGGAATGGTCGAGTGAACGTCTTGGGCTAGACACAAGGTCAGAAGGAAAGGCAGTAAAAGTCCAGCCTTGGCTTCTGCACCCATAACGCGTAGGGAACACTGCGGTGAAGTTATCTCCCTGAAACAGTGATTATCATAAAGATTTTAGTGGCTACCACCATAGAAAAATGCAACACGACTTCCAGCCGGAGTCAGCGCTGCGTTGCAGCACTGTGAAAATGTTTACTACCTTTTAAAGCTCTGTTTGTGTTCCGCAAGCCCAGCGTTGCTTCCATTGCCATTAATTCTAATTACAGCTCGCTTTCTGCGCTGATTGATAATCCTGCTTAGCTTTCAACACTTCGTTAATACGAATTCATAGCTGGACAGAAAGCTTGCTACCCACCAGAATGCAACCAGTCAAATCCTAAAAAATAGGAGTGTTTTGGAGGATAGACTCTGAAAGACAAATGGATGGATAATTAATTCGAAGGTTATATGTCACTGGAGGCTTTTCTAATGACTTCTGGTAAACTGCCCTAACTTTGCTTGCTTGATTTATGGCATTATTAGAAATCCCCAACTGGCAAACTGCCTTATACGTTGTGATTTATCAAGATGCCTTTGGTCGGACTTTACTTCTGTTGTGTTTTTTTCTGTTTGTGTTTTTTTCTTGTTTCCCTGTTCCTCCAAAGATCTTGCTGGTAACTAGCATTATGCTTTGTTTCCAAAGTTGTTTTTTTAAAGTGACAGAGTGATAGAACATCCTGTACCAATTAAATTCAATATGCTTGGGAGGGACTTCCAAACTGGCTAGCATGCGGTCGCGGGGGTTTGAATCAGAGCTACTTTAAATATAGCTCTTTCCAAATGACCTAAGCATGCATCTTCGTCTGTATTTTCATTGTAATCTTGATAAGCCGCATTTGCAGGGCTTATTCTTTTTCACAGCGCTGTCATCTTCTTTCAAGGAAGGAATTGCACATAGAATAGCCTACAACACCGTGACACCTCATTTTCCACGGCAGCCCCATACTTCACCGTGCAGTAACAGGGACGGTAGAGCTGCCAGAAAACAGGCACAGGAAGGTCTTGCCCGAGGTGTCTGCTATTGGGAACAAGCCCCACACCAAATGCTGACGCCGAAACAGATGGCTGAGGCGTTAAGGGATGCAGACAAGGCAGAGAAAAAAAAAATCAGTGGTAGGTTTGCCTTTCTTGATTGCCTTTGGCAGATTCTTCGGAGAGAGTCCGTGGACCTGCAGGCTGGGTTTGTACTAAGAAACTAAACCAGGCTGGGGCAGGGCTCGAGGGCTGTCCTTTTGCTGTTCAGCCCGGCTGGTTGCTGGCGTGATGCCGGTGCAGTTTTGGCCCAGGGAGAGCCGCGCTCTCCAGGGCACCTCACAGCACAGCTCGCCGGAGAGCCGACCCCACGGGCAGAGGTCGAGGTCACCAGTTTTGGAGGGACGGTGGGGAGAAGGAGCCATAAGAATGCGAGGTCGGGGTTTGAGTGGTGAATCCAGCCTCAGGGTTTGTGGGGAGCAGCGCAAAGAGAGAGCGGAGTGGAAGGGACACCGGGGTCCAGAGGAGGGGGGGAGGCTGGAGCAACTCAGCAAAGAGCTGGATGTGTCTCCTCACCTGCAAGAAAGGCATGTGGGCACTGGGATGGTGCTGATGGGGAGGTGCCAAAATTCTTACAAGGGCATGGAGAGGTGGAAATTTGTCTTAAAAACTGGTGGAAGGAGCAATCCAAGTCCAGGAGTGAGTCCTGGTGTTCGCTGCTTGGTGCTTGTGACCAGTAGCCTCTGCTGAAGCAAGACAAGACCCGTTTTGCTCCTGTGCCTTGGGCTTCCTACTGTCCTAGCTAGTGGGAAAGCACTTTTTGCTTGCTTGTCTCTGCAGGCTGGGGCTGGGAGCTTGGCTGTGAGACCTGCCCTGAATGCAGCCCCATCTGCAGTTCTGCGCCGTGCCCCCCAAAACATTTTAACTTCCACATCCTGCCCTGCTGGATCTGCTTCAAATCAGCTTTTCTTTCCCTTGTTTTTCTGACCCTCTAGAACTATGCTGCTATGAAACTGGTGAAACCTTTCAACTGAAGCTGTGCTGGAAAACGCCTGAAAGGTCCAGTGCCTGCCTCGGGATTTTGGAAAGACGTTGCGGCTCTGCACTGGATCACATCAGCAGATGGAGACGGAGAAGGAATGGCCTCTCCCAGGCCTGAGGCTGCTGCCAAAATGAAGATACACTTAACCCGACGCAGTATGCAGCATACCACCTATAGCACTCACCTCAGAAGCAGCACGTTAAAAAATACCTATTCTGAAATATTTCTTGTTTTACTTCTTTGTCCGTCTTTTTGTTGTTGTTGCTGTTGTTAAGCTGCTCTGATTTGTAAAGCTTGAATGGGGGAGGAAAGCTTGGGTGGGGGAGAAATGAAAGCTTGAGTGGGAGAGAAAAGGACCTTTTCATATGTAGTCTGTGAGCGTACAAAGATGTTGCAGACCTCAGCGGAGGAGTCGTGGGCTGCTGGCGTAGGCAGCACATGCAAGCCAAGATCTCAGGTTCTGAGCACACTTGTCTTTGCGCTCTGAACGAGCCTCAGTTTTCCTTTGCCGTGCAATGTGTATTATCTGGTTTATATATACATAAAGTCTACCTAAGATGAAATATGCTGCGCAGCCTGGAACCCCGGGCTGATCCCTTGCGTTTCCAACGAGAGCGAAGCCCACAAGGTACAGGACCCAGGGAAAAGGCTGAGGCGCGAAACCTGGGCAAGGGTTGATGGCAGTTGCTAAATCAAAACTCCCGTTGAATTTTGCGCTCATGAAGAACCGCACAGTCTGGCTCATGGTTTTTGGAGCTTGTTTTCCCTCTGGGCTGCCCGTTCACGTGCCTCCCTTCCAAAGTCGCGCCGCTGTGGCGGCGGAAGCGGAGTTGCGCTGAGCCCTGCCCCGAGCGCCATCCTGGGAGCAGAGCGGAGCACATGGACTTTGCTTTTCCTCCCCTCCCGCTCTATGCAATCCCCTCAGCCACAGTTCAGCGAATGTGTTAGTCTTTTTTTCTCCTGTGCTTCCAGACATGCCTAAGCAAGACAGTACAAACCAGACTGCGGCGTAAGCTGCGGAACTCCCTGCACGAAGGAGGCGACGACCTGCGCCTTGGGGAGCTTTCTGCTCTGCAAACAGATTGTTATGAGACGTATCCTGCAGGTCAGTCCCCCACCGAGCAAACGGCAGCTGTGACCGGACTGGGATGGCAGCGTTAGGACATTTCTGCTGTTTTCTATTCCCTCCTCCCGCCTGTCTGTCTCTTTGCTGCTGCAGTCAGAGGGAGCGGTGTGGACCAAAGGGATTTCTAGTGTTTTGTAGTGCTGGCTCCTGTCATGAGAGGATGCTAATCAAAACAACATTACTCTCAAATTTCCATCCTGCATCCACTCATCCTGCAAGGAACCATCTCCCAGAACAGGGGCATCAAGCATGAAAGCCAATGTCCCTCTGGCACTGCATGGCTTTTGCTGTGGTCCATCTGATGATCAATAGCTCTT